CACCTGGCAACACTGGCAGGCACGGGAAGAGCTCCGTGATGTGACTTCTGGAACCTGTTAAGGCCCGTACAGAATCTAAGGGCCTGCTTGCAACTGCAAGTGAATTCTGACTTGGGGTGAATGGGACTTCGGGGGCTATGGCAAGTAATACTGCCCGGCAGCATTTCTGCTGAAGAACTGCTGTTCTCAAACAGGACATCAGACATGCAAACTCCAGAAATAAAGATGCTAGCGAGTTTGAGAGGCTGCATATGCTACTCTTCTCAGCTCCCTGGTGAATTCTCGGGTCTGTTTACAGTGTGTGTAGACTCGGGCATGCCCTTCCATGCAGTTTGCGGAAATTGCGTTCCTACCTCGTCAGGCTTATGATTAGTGCTTAATTACCGAGTTTTGAAGCATGAGAATAAAAATGTAGATTCACTTAAAAAAACCCTGATTTTAAATATAGAGAGGATTCTAAATCACAGACTTTAATCTTACTGTACACTTTTGATCTCGGTTACAGGCATGGTCCATTTCAGATTCAGAAAAACTTCAATTAAATACCTTAAATTCTTGCATTGTAACATTTATTATAGAGGCAGAAGGCAGTGTGGGAGAAAGGTACAGGACTGGAAAAGGAACCCCAATTGCCCCATTTCTGAAATGACCTGTGGAACAAACTGAGAAAAACTGAGTTTACACCTCAAGTCTTGTATTTGCACATGTGTAGAGTGGACAGTAACACTGAGATGTGCTCAGTGCCATCTTCACAAGACAAAAAGCGTAAGGATTTCTAACAGTTCTCTCCCTGTCACACAAAGCATGTAAGATACCTATCAAAGACCAGTAATGCTGCCTTATGTTGGAGCAGTAAAACCTTTCTGCGTTTCACCTGTTCTGGCAGTATTATTCCTCTTCCTGCATCTCTCACTTGGGGTCTCTGTTCCACTACGACACCCAACTGACTGGGACCCTGTCAGGTCACCTCGATGGCTTTGCAGAGATTGAGAAAAGGTATTTTCCTTTCATGTCCCACAGGCTTTTTTTTTTTTAAATTCCAGTTTACCCAACACAGAAATTGTAAATGCTACTTTTTGTTGAGATATAAAGCACTCATGGTGGAGTACAACAGCACGCTGTAAAACGTAACAGCGTAATGCTGGACTTTATCACAACTAACTCAGTGCTAAAACCTTACCTAGAAAATGCTTTTTGGAGTAAACGCTTGCACTGCAGTCAAGATGCTAGCAGCGTAGGCATCCAGGCTGCTTTCTCAAATTTCCTTTCTATTTTGGTTGGCAATAATTTTTCTAAGCTTTTTTCTGTATTATGAAAATTCAATACATGCTTAGTTGTTCTACTGTTAGTTCTACTTACAATATCAGCATCTCCATAAAAAGCTGCCAAGTCTAGGGGTGTTCGTCCATTTTTGTCCGTCTGATCAACTGTTGCGCCTTTCTCAACTAAATACTGAACCACTTCCCTGTGGCCTTTTAGACATGCCCAGCTCAAAGCTGTCAGTCCTTCTTTGTCCAGAGACGAAATAGTTGCACCTGTAAAATGAACATTAACTTTGCTATGAAGATGTCCTGTTTAATAAGCAGAATCACCTGACTCGCACAGACGCAGTCTCTGGCACAGCTGTGCAGCCTTGAACCACTATTCATTTTCTACCTTCAGAAAGCAGAAATTCCACAGTGCTCAAATGTCCTTCACAAGAAGCCACCATAAGCGGAGTTCGGCCTTGCCTGTCGCTTAAATTCACGTCAGACCCATGCTCCACCAGAAGTTTAGCAATCTGAAATGGAAACCAGCAATTTAAAAGTAAATTGGCAGATTTAAATTTTAGCCATAATAGCATGAACTTTTAAAGAAGAGGACTAAGGTGTAATTTACAGCAATCACTGAGAAATCTTGTGCAACTCAAGTCCTAACGGTTTGCAGTTCAGGGCCATCTGACAGGAGTGGCCAGCATGAGGAAGGCTCCTGACTCTAAGGTTCTCTCTCCGTTAATACAGAAGAGCAGTACAGAGGATCTGAAATTGCCTCTGTTCTTGGCCTAGAATATTTTAACTCCCATGCATTATTTTTCGACGTATATTATAACTAAGGTTGTCATGCATCCGATGTACTTTCAGATCTTTTGTATCACTTTAAGCAACCTAAAAAGTGAGCTTCTGAACATGTCCCTTTGAAATTTGATGCAAATGCATTTTAGAAAATTTAAACTAATTTATTACAGGACTAGAGATGGGAGGAATCAAGGACTTCTTCCCCAAGGAATCGGTTTAATTTGCGAGGATGTGTCAGACCTGCCAGTGCCCCTGCCGTACTGCACAGAAGAGCGGAGCAATCCCCCTCCTGTTAGCTCTCGTCACAGCTGCTCCATGTTCAAGAAGTAATTCACAGACTTCCAGTTTTCCTCTTCCTGCAGCAGCTGTCAGGGCTAAAGAAAGCGTTTTCATCATCACCACCATCATCTCTTAGCTGCATTACCTCATCTTTTGACACATGCACATTATGTGACGGTTACTGAATCTCCAATTTTTTCATCTCAGCTGCTCCATAAGATTTTCAGAACTATTTTCAGGCTCAAAATAATTAGTCAGAATCAGGTTAAGTCAACGAGCCACAGACAGGCCTCTAGTAAATACAAAGATGATTCTCAAAGATAGCAACTGCATCATGTGCATACCTTGTAGGTTAGAAGGAATCTTTACGAAAATTTTGGATAAACCCACCAGCCTGAGGCAAATCTAGTTCCTTTTTCATTCAGCGTTTTTTTCATGACAAGAAAGCTTAATCTCTTTCCATCAGGCGCTTTGCTAAATGAAGATGTCAGCAGCTCTGGGATGCAGCAAGGTGACCGTAACTCAGGTTTCAGGAAGCCCTGTTTGCTCGATCCCTGGCAGTGACACATCGCCAAACCTCAGATATTTAGATCTCTGCAGCAAGTCTGGGTCTTGGACAATTTAGTTCACTCTGCACTAGTTAAAATTGTTTTCCCTGTTTTTCACGGTGAAAAACACAGTCAGTTATCAATCAGCAGTTCTAATTCCTGTGCGTTAACCCCTACTCTAGACTTCAAGGGATTACGGTACATTTTCCAGTACACAAGAGACATCAACATTCTAATTCACCTTAAAAATCTGTTTGAACTGAACAGCCTATGTTGTCACGAGCGAGTGCTCTTGACCTCTATCTAAAATGCAGTAACCTTGCAGCTTTCAAACAGACAGATACTACTATTCGGAGACACCTTCGCAGCCCGGGCTGAAAACTCCAGAGTATCGCGGCTGCGTGCACACCGCGCACACTGCCGACGGAGTCGCCCAACACAACACAGCAGCCAATGCGTCCAGATAGCATAACACATTGATACGACCTTTTCAAAATTCTTAAGTTATAAATGACTGCACATCTATGTTCACAATATATGGCTGATGAGAAAGCAGGTGATTTCCATACATTCGGCACTCATATTTTGTGACTCCACTCATTACTGTACGGCTGAAGCGTTGCTCTAAGGCTATACACTTCAACCTTGCCACCTTCTCCTATAGCTTATTACTATCCCTGCTTTTCACTGTGACACTGAAGCTTGAAAATAAAACATTTTCCCCACCATGATTTTTTCCCCCTCTCTTCCATTTGGCTCGCATCAACTCACCGTGTGCTTGAAATGGAGCTTGAAATTACAATGGTTTTTTTTCGTTGTTTGTGCTGAAGCATCATCAGTAATGTTAACACTGTTTAGAAAATGGGTTAATGTGCTAACTTCTGCAAGTACCACCAACGGAGTCACCCCTCCGTTTTCTAAATCCTAATACCGTACAATTTCCAATAAGAAGTGGGTCAAACTCTGAATTTCTCGTTACTCATTTTTTAGCATTTTCAAACGTGATAAAGCAGAATTTTTAAAAATTCCAATGGATGCTGAGAGTAAATGAAATTACAAACAGTGCAGGAAGTAGCAAATTCATATTTTTTTTTAAACAGTATCTAACCCATTCCCTTCACTCACTGATACTCCATTATGTTACAGCTACATCAACTGCTCAGATCTGAACAACTGAAAAGTAACTGGCATAGATATCAACATTAAAGGCAAAACAAACTATCTTGTTAAAAACCTTCACATTTTTTATTCTGTTAAGACCAGCGTTTCAGCTCATGGTGTAACTAGCATTACGGCAAGAGTGTAACTCCCTGTACCTCACCCAGGTAAGGGAGACTAAACAATTCCTCCAGTCAGCTCAAACAACATCAGGAGTAAACCCTGCTCGGGAATTCCAGCTGTCCTCCTCAAAAGGACCACCTCTGACCTTCCGAATGGTACTCTGCAAAAGCTAAGAGCAGCCAAAATGATGCTATTTTCTATCACTTTTACAAGACAGAAAGTAATGCTCTAAATTAGCTGATCTGTATAGAACACACGAGCCTGGAAAAACATCTCTGAGATGCCTTTAAGCTAAGATCATCTTTTCCAACTAAGACACAGTAATGTAGATTTTGAAAAGGGAAATTTAGAAAATAGGCTTAAAAGTTTCCTACCCCTATATCCTCTCATTTCACGTGTTCTGTGACTTTTTATCTGCTCCACTTTAATTTGTTATTTCATAGAATGGTTTAGGTTGGAAGGGACCTTACAGATCACCCAGTTCCACTCCCCTGCCCTGGGCAGGGACCCCTTCCACCAGCCCAGGCTACTCCAAGCCCTGTCCAACCTGGCCTTGAACCCTGCCAGGGAGGGGGCAGCCACAG